AGTACAGTTGCTCCAGGTGGTACTAGTATAGTTGCTTCTAGTAATACTAGTACAGTTGTTCCTGGTGTTACTAGTACAGTTGCTTCTAGTGGTATTACTACAGTTGCTTCTGGTGGTACTACTGCAGTTGCTTCTAGTGGTACTACAACAGCTGTTTCTGGCAGTAATGCTACCATTGTTACTTCCGGTCGTAATACTACTACCGTTACTTATCGTGGTGCTAGCAGTCATAATGGTGCTAGTGGCATACTGCTGGTGTTACTACTGGTGTTCTCAATCAAGTAAGTTATTAAGAGTTCTTCTGACAAATTAACTTTTTTATTTCTCATTCGTGTTCAATCAAAATGCCCGAGAATGCTAGTTTTGACTAGAATAGATTTTGTTTAAAATATCTCGCCAAATCTGCAAGACATTCATGAGTTATAGTTATTCATTGGTCAAAAATATCCTAACAGAGCTGGATTTTTTAATTTCCCTTTGTTTGCTTTTTAAAAAGTGTTTTTTTGAAAAATTCTCAAATTTATCACCAAAAAATGGATAATTAAAATCAAAGATTATTTTTTTTTATTTCTGCAAAAAAGAAATTCAAAAATCATGCTCTATTACGGTCTATCCCTAACTGTCTGTTGTGTAATTAAAAAAATTACCACTTTTAGATTGAGTCATTATTAAGGAAAGGTTTGCCAGCGGGAACGACATACGGGAAAAGCTGATTTTGAGAAAAATGAAAAATAATGTTTTCGCTTATATTCTTCAGCTAGGAATCCTTCCGAAAAATCTGATCAGAAAAAAAGCAATCTTCTTGTTTTCACAAAAATAATTATGCTAGCTTAAAACCCATTACAAGGACTATCAGAATACGTATATATCTTGAAATCGAATTTTTCTCCAAAAACCGACTTTTTAAAAGGGGTTCCTTAAGTATAAATTATTTATGTAGCAATATGTCGAATTTATTTAGTTTTAGAATTTGAAGCCATACAACCAATATCAGGAATTCAAAGACTTACAAGAACTTTTTCTGTAGCTGGTGTTCTCTTTCATTTTTTTTGTATAACTTTTTGTTTCTTATTTCGAATAAAATATTGTTTATACAGCACATGTGGATCTTATTTTATAAAAAATGCCCATGTAATCAACTCTTATTGAAAACAAAGAGCAATAAATTAAAACATTGAAAATGCTAGCATATAATACAAACAGATCGTCATGTTATTATACATTGGTTTCACAGTTAGAGTTGGGTCTCGTCAAATTATTAAAGAATTTTATGATTATAGATCGGGTCGAATCAGCCAGTCTGAACATTTTGCAAACAAAAAATACATTTCGAATGTTTTTTATTAAATGTCCTATCAGAGAATGTGAAAAGATTTTTAAAACAAGAAGGTATGTATCGCATACTTCGTTATTCTACTTCACTGTTTTTTTCTTTATTGATATGAGGTAACAATTGATAGTTAGTCCACTATCTATTAAATTGTAACATAGAAATTTCATTTTTTGTCTGAGAATTGCTTTACTCTTCCTTTTTTTATTAATTTAATTGTTTATTTTACAATCAATTACGTTATTTCACAATTGTATTTATTTATTTCGCGACGTTTCGAAGGGTGTGGGTGTGGGTGGATGTGGGTGCGGTGTGGGTGTGGATGGATGTGAGTGTGGGTGTTTGCGGATGTGGGTGTGGGTGTGGGTGTGAGTATAGCTGTAATGATGATCTACGCCCAAACCCACACTCAAATCCACACCCATACCCACACGCACACCCACCCACACACACACCCACACCCCACACCCACACCCACCCACACCCACACACCCACACACCCACCCACACCCCACACACCCACCCACACCCCACACATCCACACCCACACACACCTCATCCTCAGTAAGATAAATATTCTATATTTATATTTCAGTCTTCACTCTCAAGAACGTCTTTGTTGATTTAAGTGCACGAATGAAAAAACGTTTAAAAAATAATTATTCGTTGAATTTCTCAAACTTTCTAATAAAGCTTTTTTATTTGAGAAGAAAGAGTTATTTTATTTTTTTTGATCTCATAATCAAATGAATAAATTTATGACTTAAAATGGATGGATACATATATATGGAATTCCTCTCGTGATAATTTGTACTATAGAAATTATACATCTTGTTTTGGCATATTTTGTTTTCTTAGAATTATTTTACAAACAAATGAATCGAACAAAAAAGATATAAACAAATATCAAATATCATCTTTCAGAATATTTTATTGAAACTAAAACAATGATATTTAACGTCTAAAGAACCATTTCTATTCAACATGAATGACATATTATTTATTTTATTAGATCTATAATAGACAGCATTGATGTTCATCGATATATGAAATAACAAGAAACAGAGAGAGAGAAAAAGGTGATAGCATTCTTTTCCGTCTATTTATCATCAATTTCCATTATAGAAAAAATTTGTGATTGTTTTCATTGACGAAATCGGTCAAATTGAATAAGTCCATATAAACGAAAAAAAATACACAGATGAAGTTAAACATGGAAGGTTTTTCGGCGAAGTTAAATGATTTACCTGATGAGATTCTTCTTCTTATTTTTAAAAAATTGGACAATATTGAAGTGCTCTACTCATTCATAGGTGTTAATAAACGATTTAATAAACTTGTACATGATTCAATTTTTACGAATCATTTAACAATAACAAGATATTCTTCTAATGGTTCATTTGATCGATTAGATAACCAAATACTTGCGAGATTTTGTTCACAAATTTTACCTTCGATTCATCACAAAATCAAATGGTTGGATATTGAATCCTCATTTATGGAAGATGTTCTTCTTTGTACAAGTTATCCCAATTTATGTGGACTTGATTTACATAATATCGAGAAGGACATTGCATTACGTATCTTTACTGGTGAGAGATTTTTCTTTCAATCATTAATATTTCAAAAATATAGATAAATCAATAGGATTATTTATTTGTAAAAAGATTCTTCATACGATTGTGTCATAGAACATTTTTTTGCTATATAAATAGTAAAAAACAAAAATCTCATTGGAAATCAATGTGTTTAGATAGAGAAAACTAATATTTACTCTAGAACGTCAGAAAAAGACTAAAATAGATGTAATAATTTGATCCATATATTTAAAATATTTCATCATTGATTTTATATTTATATTTAGACGAATCTCCTTTAACCCACATATTTCAAGATAAAATTTCATCATTTGTTATTGATGTTGTTCAATATAAAAATATAAGTGTAACAGACAATAGCAAAGCAAACATATTTGCGTGCATTTTAACCTTATTCTCCAAGTTAAAATATTTCCATTATAGGCCAACTTTTTGGCATCAACCATTATTTCAAATTCCTTCAACTATTTCCTCTTCAACTCTGTTAGAATTGCATGTCAAATTAGAGAATTTTACTGATTGTCTTTATTTACTTGATGGTCGTTTCGATTCACTTCAAAAACTTTCTGTTAATATTTATAACATATTATCTTCACAGATAATAATTGATAACAAAGTAAATTGTACAATTTAATATCTAATATATTCAAATAAATTGTTTTATTTTTTTTTAGAAACAATTACCCAATCTAAAACTTTTTTCGCTCTATTCTGAACGAGATACAGATATGTATAATGAATTGATTGTGCCACTTCTACATCGAATGATCAATCTAGAAGAACTCGATTTACATCTTGTTGTGTATTGTGAGAAAAGATTTATTGATGGTTATGATTTGAAATACAATATTATTAATAATTTATTACGATTAAATAAATTTATATTTAACATACGATCACGTCTGTCTATAAACGATCAAGTTTATTTATCATCAAATGAAGATTGTCAACTTTCATTCAATGGTTTTAAAAATAATAAAATTATTTCGTGTATTGATTATTTCCCAGATCGTAAACAAGGTCAATGTCATATTTATTCATATCCATATCAAGCAAAATATTATGAATATATTACAAATAATTTTCCAGATGGATTATTTAAATATGTTCGAGAAGTCTCATTATATGATGAACGTCCTTTTGAACATGAATTCTTTGTGAAAATTGCTAAATCTTTCCCATTCATGGAACAATTAACTGTATACAATGATAAACCGCAGAAGAACAAATTTGATGAACAATCAAAAGATGATAATCGACATTTATCCGTTATTCAATATCCTTATCTTAGTGTAGTTGATTTGTTTCATGCTCATGATGATTATGCGGAGCAATTTCTATTGGATATCAAAACGTGTTTAACAACAAAGCTCAACCTTCAAGTCTACTTTTCAACTTTGGATAGAGTAACAAACAATTTTACAAGAGATACAACACGAATCAATTGTGCTAAATTACTTGATGTACAGTTACCTCGTAATATATCGATTTCAAAGCAGTTGAAAGACTATTTTCCTGATACGAAAATTTATTCTTTAAATCTGTAAATAAAACTGATTTGAAGTAGGTGGATTAACGTGAAATAAAAGATGTGTAAAATAAAATAAAAAAAGAAACAACTCGTTCTATATGTTACTTGTGGGAAAAAGAACTTTGATGCATCTCAAAATGATTTTATTTGAAAAATGTTTATTTAGAAATATGAAAAATAAAAATCTATAAGATTTTGATTATTTAAAAAATCAGAGATGTCGAATGGATTTGATTGGTGCGGGTATCCATTGGGTTGGAGCGTCCATGGGTTGATCCTGACCCAACCCAACCTAGAACAGTGGACAGTAAGCAAAGGGCAAGAGCAACAAAAATTTTCAATATTTTTGATAAAACATTTTTGAGCAACGAGTTTTTAATACGGCTTGTCCACGTAACGTGACACTTCACACATGAAGTATTTCAGAATTCTAAATAAACGATTATGCCACGTAGAGAAAACTTGAAAGTGTAAGAAAATGTATTTTGTTATTAGAAAAATTATTTTTGTGAGTCTTTAAAAACGTATACATTAAGGGTTAATTTCAATGTTGTCTTTTGCCATGTTTTCTATCTTACTTTGAAACTAAGCATGCACTTTAATGGCTAGCTCCGAACCCCAGCTATCAAATAGTTTGTAAACTATCAAGTACGGTCTTTCTTTTGACAAAACAATAAACTTGTTTCCTTTTCTTCACATTGAGATATTATTATGAAAACAATACTTGATCAATATCACTGTAACGACTTTACGAAAAGACCCTTATTTTAAAATTTCTGTCAGCCACTTAGAGAATATTGATAAACAAACTAATGGACCATAACTAACTTTTCATGGGGATTCTGATGCACTACTTTTTTTTCTCAAAAATATTGCATATTAAGGTAGATAAACGTAACGCTGTAACGAAAACCTGATTGAGGGTGTGGGTGTGGGGTGTGGGTGGGTGGGTGTGGGTGGGGTGTGGGGTGTAGGGTGCGGAGTGTGGGTGTGACACTCAATCGCAGTCATACCCAAACCCCATTCGCACTCACACCCACACCCACATTCGCACTCACACCTACACTCCATACCCACATCCCACACCCACACCCTCAAGCTGACCTTCTCACTTGTTTCTCTAATAAAACGTCAAAAAAAAAACGAAAGAACAGTTAAATAAAAATATTTCTTTATTTTTTATTTCTAAGTTGTAACTCACAAATTTTCATTGAACTTAGGGTTTCAATTATTAATCTGTATGAAACAAAGTGTTTTCAATTCGACTGATTATGTCTGTCCATTTTCCTC